TAGCTGGTTAAAAAGAAGAAACAAGAACCATCTGTGAGAGAAGTCTACTTAAATAAATGCAGTAGGTTATAATTATTTTTTCTCTTTTGGTCATTGGGGTTTTGCTTTCCTCTGAAGTGATGATAAATTGGAGTCACAAGGTTTGGAGCAGGAGACAAACTCTTTGAAAAGCTTATTGTATTCAAGTAAGACATTAATCCCGATTTTTGTCTCAGTGCTGTCTGTGCTGTAGATAATTGCTATCTAGCAGGTTAATTTAGTATTTTTGTCCTTGTTCTAGGCAGAGTTTGAGATTAGTGTAAAAAAAAAAAAAAAAAAATCTTTTAAAAGTTAGTAAGCCCAATACATTGCATGTATTTAATGAGGCCTTCTCCTTGAGATGCTTAGGTAATCCACACTCAGTCTCTCTGAAGTTAATTATGTGCTAGTATACAAAGCCTAAATCCTTATAAAGTAACTTCCTTACAGATGTTACTATGAACTTATTAAATCCTGTGACACATCATCAGTCTTGTTGGTGTCAGCCAGAGAGAAGGGCTTGAGCACCACAGAGGACTAGGCACATAGTGAGAATTCATTATGAAAAGGAATTTTTAATTATTTTGCTGTGCTTTTCCACTGTAAGATTTTAAATATACAGCAGACAGTATTCTCTGAGGCTTCACACAATAAAATGTTTGTTAGTTATTTGTATTTGAACTTTATATTTGTATTTGACCTGCTCTTGCACAAAGGTGGGCTACCCCAGCAGTCTGCTGTCCATTCTGCTGTGTTGCTGGTCACTACCATGTGGGAATGAGGCTCCAATATATGTTTTTGAGTACCGTATCAGAATTCCGCCCCCCCGCAGAGTGACTTTTCACATAGGATTGAACTGGTATTTTTCTAATCTCTTAAAGAAATCTTTCTTGGCGTGTTCAGTAGGTCACTATGAATAATGTGCTTTTCCATTTGGCAGCCAGACTGGAAAACTGGGGGAAGGGGAAGCAGAGAGGAAGGGCAAGGACTCATTATGTTCAGGGGTCGGAGTGAAACTAGCACTTTCCTTTTACAAGATCCAGCAAAAGCCAACACTTTATGATGGCTGTCATCCCTTTACCACCTGAGACCTTTTTGGTGCCTCTAAGAAAAGCAGCAGATGAGGAGGAGGTCTAAACTCACCAGGCTGCACAGTGAGTGTCATGGCATCCTGGCTTTACCCCAAGGTTTAGGGAAGCAATAGATTGGAGACAAAGTGATGGTGTGAGAATACCCCTGTCCAAGGTTGGGGGAGCCTGGGTTTGAGCCCTTCCCTGTGGACATTTAGATGTGAAAGCAAAGTGGAAGAGGAGCAAAGCACTCCTCTATTGGACAGGGCTTGGCCAGGGTGGTGGGGCTGCCCTCTGAAAGAGGGGTTCAGGCAAATGCTGATGTTGAGTTCATCTCATGCTCCTCATGGTAGGAGGGGTGTGTACCCCTGACCTGGAGCTGCTGGAGAGTTTAAGGGTCTGAGAACCAGGCCTAAAACTGTGCTCCAGGCAGCTCCATCAGCTAGAGCTCACAGGTGAGACTGCTTCCCCATCCCACTCCAGCAATCACGCTACTCACAGAGGAAACATGGCATGGTGGCAGGGTTCAGGATTTGGCCCTTTTTGTGAGTAGGCTCAGTTTCTTGGCTGTTATAAAACCTGGTGACACTTGAAATGGATGGCAGTTACGTCAGATCCCAGCTCTGCACAGGAAAGATGCCGGTCACCTTCAGAGGTTCTGTGAGAGGCACCTGCCCATTTGGAAACCAGTTTGGCTCCCACTAGATACAGTGGGAGCTGGAGGGAGACGTCATGTCTGCATTGTTTCCGAACTCCCTCCTCCTGGCTCACCAGCCCTTACTCTCTACAACTGCTTTGCAAGAGTTCACATTACCAGTACTTTATCTTCTTCACTGCGATGCTGCTGCCCCCACGGGAGTTTAGTCAGCCGGGCTGATGCGATTTGAGTGGGGATGGGGGCCGAGAGCTGCACAGGCCCGTAGTGATCGATGGGATTGCACAGGGAAAGTGGCACTCGCCAGCGCTCGCTCCCTCTTTGCCCCCATGAGAATGAATGGTTTGCCAGTGGAGGAGTGATGGGGTTCTCTGCTCTGTGGGAGAAGTTGAAAGGGGGAGCGGTACCCGGGCTGCAGTGTACTAGCAGTCCAAGGGGGTGATCACCTGGGGAGGGAGCGAGTGTGTGGATGGGGTGAGCCTGCTCCGGGGGCATGGTGGAGCAAGTGCTCTGCGATTGAGCAAACGCACATGCTTTGTGTTTTCAGAGGCATTGCAGCGTGTCCCTGAACTTGGCACCCAGCCCCTAGTGATGTGGTAAATCCTACATCCGTGCATGTGCTCTGTAACCTTCCGAACTCCAAAAAACTTCTGCCATCATGTGCCTTGAGCACGTTTAATGATACATGTGAAGTGTTTTCTCACTCTCGTGGAAATGGATGTTGCGAGCTGCAGTTGATCCCCTCACTTCTTTTTGGGACGGTACTTTAACCTGTGCATGCCCTTTTATCCTCTTGATGCTATTCATAACCTTATAGATCATATATATATATATATATATACACACACATATCTATCTATCTATCTTATAGCATATCCTGCCATGGTTCCTGCTCCAGACTGAAGGTTCTCATCTGCTTGCTCGTCTCACCAGAGTGAGTGGCTTCTTTCATTACTCTCGTTTTCTTCCTCCTGCTTTCTCCCTAAATCTCCACATCCATCTCATTAAAGGTCAGCTGGAACAACAGGTACTATTCAAGATACAGATGCGCTGTAGATTTATAGGTTGCCATATGATGTTTTCTGTTTCCTTCCTTATTTCTTTCCCAGTAATACCACTGTTTTGGGCTGCTGCTGGCTGCAAAGGTGCTGCTTTCACCCACACAGCTGCTCAGCCCCTGGTAGCATTGCTGGGCCATACGCCAGCCTGTGGTCCCACCACTGTGTGCGCAGGGTGAGGATTGCTTTTCCCCCCTGCCATATTTATATCCACTCATACTTACCCACCTTGACGTTTACTGGGCTCTGCTCATGTGCCTGTCCCCAAGGCAGCGTGGCAGGGGTGGTGCATTCCTGCAGCATGCTGCTTCTGTGGCCATGCCGGGCATCGATGCCATGCACAGCACCATTGCCTCTGACCAGAACAGGGACCCTGAAATGCCACTCGCGCTTCCAGCTACAGACCGAGCCCTGATGAACATTCTTAGTTTCAGTGTTTTCTTGTACAGGCAAAATTACCCTTTTGCTCACATGCAGGAAGGCAGATGACTGATTGCCTCTGCCCTGTAGCAGAGTTGATGAATCATTTCCTTTTCCATAGTTTAGTAAAATTGTTAATTTTTGTTGTTCAGAGCTCATCTAGAGTGGTTTAATGTTTTGAGCACTTGCACTCTTCTCTTTTGTTCTCTTCCTGCAATTGTCCGAAGACTGGATTTTTTTTGTCTCCCTCCCACCAGTTGTTGTTACTTACTCAGAATGGTTGTGGATGGGTTTGCCTCTATCAGTGCAAATTAATTTTTTTCCTCATTTTCTAGTCGCCTTTTTTTATTGTACTTTGATGTCAGCGCGGTTTTAAAGCATGAATGTGTATTTCTACCAGTGAAAGCGATCTTCTATATAAAGGAAACCAAGGTAGTGCTACTCGTACCTTTAGACCTTGGAGATTTTGCTCTATTGAATATAAATCTACGGTTGGATTAAAAAAAAAAAAAAAGTTCAAAGGTTTGAATAACAGACTCTTATTAATGCAGGGGTTTCTGCACAGTGAACCACTGCTTTGTGTGCTTGGCTGTTTGAGAGGAAAATTGATATGTCAGCAGAGAGAGATGTATTGCTCTTAATTAGATTGAGCTGGATACATCATCAGAGGCCCCAGTTTTGATTTAAATACTGGCTGCAGTGGGGGCAGTTCTGTATAGAAAATGGGGACTGGCTTGATTTGTATGTATTGCTCCTGGGTTGGCAAAATAAAGAGATGAAGGAACAGTGTGATTTATTATCTAGACACTAGAATAGGCCTTGGAAAGATGTGTATTTTCAGCATTCCTATTGTAGTGTACACAATAAGCTAAATTAAGTACCAGTATGTCAACACAAGGAGCAAGAAAGAAAACCTGGAGCTTGCTTAAGGGTGCTGATTACATGGGTATCTCAGCATCCAAAAGAAAAAAAAAAAAAAAAAAAAAAAA